ATCAATGTTTACTGCTCACCTGGGTCCACTGACGACAATAGGAGAAATACTCTACCACAAGATTAAAAAAAACTCACTTTTTCTAAGGGTACAGGCAGGCTCATGATTGTTCAAGCCAACTTTTCAGTAAAGAAATGAGAGTATTAACTATTATATTGGGGATCTCCAGTAAACTGCAATATAATAACTAGCATGCAAACACTGTTCACGTCATGTACTGAATAAAGATGCTGTGACATTGGTGCTAAAATGGGATTTATTACATACTAGAGGCCCAATGCACGAATTTATGCACGGGTGGGGCGTTTGGCCTGGCCAGAGATCAGGGCCAATCAGGGCCATTTCACCTAGTCTCGATTGGGGCTGATCAGGGCCAGCCGGTCAGGGAGGGACTGTGGGAGGGCTCCACAGTGTGTCTGGCTCTCTAAACCAGTCCTGATTGGCTGGATCTCAGCAGCAAGCCAACCTACTGGTCAGAGCACCTGCCCCTTGGTTGTTAGTGTGCATCATAGCAACTGGTTGACTCGTCAACCAAAAGGTTGACCAATCGGTCGGACACTTAGCATAGTATGCTTTTATTATATAGGATTTGGAAATAATGGCAACACCACCCTCCCATAAAAACAAACAAAGTAAGTGTATAAAACCCTGAGGCACAGGACTAATAAATGACTAAAGTGATACATTCAGTATTTTTTTTTTTATTTTTTTAAATAAGTTTTTATTGTTCATATTATTACAAATGTTCCTTCCCACCCCCACCATTGCTCTCCTCCACCAGGTTCCCACCCCACCCTCTGCCCTTTCCCCACTCCCCATTGTCCTCATCCATAGGTGCACAGTTTGTTCAGTCTCTTCCCACATCCCCCTCTCCCCTTTCCCCAAGAATCGTCAATTCACTCCCCTTCCATACCTCTGATTCTATTATATTCAACAGTTAATATTGTTCATCAGATTTTTTAAATTTCCTTGGTTTTTACATTCACTTGTTGATAGTTACATATTTGTTGTTCATAATTTTTATCTTTATTTACTTTCTCTTCTGAAAGAACCCCCTTCAGCACTTCATATAATTCTGGTTTGGTGTTGATGAACTCCTTTAGCTTTTTTTTATTAGTGAAACTCTTTATCTGCCCTTTGATTCTGAGTGATAGCTTTGCTGGATAGATTATCTTTGGCTGTAGGTTTTTACTATTCATCACCTTGAATATTTCTTGCCATTCCCTTCTGGCCTGCATGGTTTCTGTTGAGAAGTCAGCTGATAATCGTATAGGTGCTCCTTTATAGGTTACTACCTTCTTTGCTCTTGCTTCTTTTAATATTCTCTCTTTGTCTTTTGCTCTAGGAATTTTAATTATAATGTGTCTTGGTGTAGTCCTCTTTGGATTCCTTTTGTTTGGAGTTCTGTGCACTTCCTGGACTTGTATGTCTAATTCTTTCACCAGGTGGGGGAAGTTTTCTGTCACTATTTCTTTCAATATGTTTTCGATATCTTGCTCTCTCTCATTTTCTGGGACCCCCATAATTCTAATGTTGGTTCACTTGAAGTTGTCCCAGAGGTTTCTTATATTATCTTCAATTTTCTGGATTCTCTTGCCTTCTAGCTTCTGTGGAGGAGTGTCTTCTGGTTCTTTGTGTTCCAAATCTTTGACTTGATTCTTGCAATCTTCCATTCTGTTTTTAGGACTCTGTATAATATTATTTATTTCAGACAATGTATTCTTTATTTCTTGTTGATCCCTTATCATTTCTTGATAACTCCTTATTAATTCTAGTTGATTTCTTTTCATATCCTCATAGGTCTTATCCATCTTTTCTAGGAAATTCTTGAAAAACCTTGTAAGCATAGATTTGAACTCTATATCCAGTCGCTTTTTGTCCTCCATTTCTTTCGTTTGTGATCTATTTCGTTGTCGCATTTCGCAGTTACAGATGTGATGGGATTTCAGGGTGGAGCCTACAGCCTTAGCTTCCGTCAGCCCCGCCCTATGCGGCTCCTGCAGCTCAGGGTCCTTCAGTACTCGCTGCAAAGCACCTCTGAGAGATAGGTGCCCTCAATTTTCGCCTGCTGCCAAACAGTCTTATGCTCTCCCCCAATGAGCCCAGTATTGGGGTTTAGTTCAGTTGGAAGTGGAGTTGGAGGTGGCGTTCAGAGCAGACAGGAGCCCCAGTCTCCTTCCGGCCAGAGGAATCCCGCGGCACAGCCTACCATCCCTTCTCTGCACGCAATGTGCTTGCCGCCTGGACCTCCTTTCACTGCTCCCCCGGGGTTCCGCCTTACAGCCCAGCTCCCTATGGATGAGCCTGGGTCCCTGGGATCTGGCCTAGAACTGGGGTTCAGAGCAGTCACAACTGGGGCCCAACACAGTCGGAGTTTTATCTCCTTCCCGCTAGGGAATGCCAGCCAGGCACTCAGCCTCCCTCCTCTCCAGCTCCGTCCTCTCTGCACCCCGCATGTCTCCGTACCTTGGGCTTTTACAGCTCCTCCGCTCTTCCTTCTGGTTTTCTCCTTGCTTCTCATTGTAGAATTTCCAGTCAGTCGACTTTCCTGTAGTTCTGGGTAATGTCCATTTTATATTTTAGTTGTATTTTATTGAAATTGTTGTGTGCGGCTGCGGCTAGGTGTTTACCTGGGCGCAGCCATCTTGGATCTCTACATTCAGTATTATTACATATAAATCTTCACACTATGTTATTCAGATTAAGGTTAAGTATCTGTAAATTGAAAAATTCTATAGAGATATTTATATGGCTAATGAGGAAGTGGCAATTTGTCAACAGTGCATGGATATAGCACAGAAAAATAGCCGTCCAGAACAATTCAGCTAAGGACCATTCCGTTTGAGTCTTCTTTTTTTCTTTAATTATTTTCTAATTAATCATAAGTAACTTATGTGTGTCTATTAAAGTGACATGTGGATAAAGTTACAGATTTTTTTTTTTGCCAATGAATTAAAAAAGTATTAGCTCAAATTTTATAAATTTTCAGATATCCCAATATGACCTATAAAAATGCCAATTTCAAATGAAGAACAAAATTAATAATTCTTTTCCAAATGCTTTACATCATTACTGCTGAAATGCTTTAGTTACAAACACTATTAAATTAGTTTTTATTCCCGAATCTAATGCCCATTAGGTGGAAATTACAAATAAAGAAAATATAATTCAAAAAGGAATAATTCTTACTTTGAACAATTAAATATATATTATGAATACATGTTTGTATAGTTATGATAAAGGCAATTGTGTATTTGCAAAGATAATATATATTTTGAAAAAGAATGGCTCTCAGTGGACCTACAAAGTCGATACGATTTTAATAATAATATTAATACTAAGGTATTACTCGCAGTTTTCGCTGTCACTTCTCAGAATGTGCAAGGAGTCTTCCAAAGACTACATGGTGTGTGATATTACAGTAGATTGAATACCGAAACAGAGATCAAGGATAACTACTATTAGGCCAGATATTAATGCAACATATAAAACTATATATAATGCTAATCTTCTTACCATTTGATTTTTGCTTTGGAAAATATATCTTCAAAAACATCACTTTTATATATATATTAACATATAACAAAATTTTTAGTGAATTAATAAATAGGTCTTAAGGTTATCAATTTCAGTTTCAACACAGTAAATCTACACTATTAAAAAAGAAATATGCAAAAGGACCTTAACCCCACTACCCCCCACAAGCCACGCCCACCAGCAAATCAGGAGCAAGTATGCAATTTAACCCAACCAAGATGGCTGTGGCCATGGAATAAGCAGGAGGCTTGGGTTTGCGCGGCAATGAAAGAAGCCAAGCATCCTGCCAGCTCTGCCTGGCCCTGGCCTCTGCTCAAGGCTACAAAGTTTTAATTGTAGAAGATAAAACAAATCCCAGATACCAGGGTCTCCACTTGTGTCACCCTGGGGTGTGGCTGGCCTGCAAACCACCACAGGTCCCTTGCCCAGGCCTCTCCATGCCCCAAGGGAACCCGCACCCTGATCCAGGACACCCTTCAGGCAAACCAGCTGGCCCCCACCCATGCACCAGGGCTCTATTCTATCTAATAAAAGAGTAATATGCAAATTGACTGTCACTCTAACACACAAGATGGCTGTCCCCATGTGGTCAAAGATGGCTGCCCCCATGTAGACACAAGATGGCCACCACAAGATAGCCAGCAGAGGAAGGCAGTTGGGGTGATCAAGCCTGCAAGAGAGGGCAGTTGGGGGGGATCCAGGCCTTTAGGGGAGGGCAGTTAGGGGTGACCAGGCCTGTGAAGGAAGGCAGGTAGGGGCAATCAGGTTGACAGGGGAGCAGTTAGTCATCAGTCAAGCTAGCAGGGGAGTGATTTGGGGGTGATCAGAGTGGCAGGCAGAAGCAGTTAGGGGCAATCAGGAAGGCAGACAGGAGAGCAGTTGGGAGCCAGCAGTCCTGGATTGTGAGAGAGATGTCCGACTGCCTGTTTAGGCCCAATCTTATCTGGTAAAGGGCCTAAATGGGCAGTTGGACATCCCTGGAGTGATTCCAGATTGGAGATGGTGCAGGCTGGGCTGAGGGATACACACCCCCATACACGAATTTCATGCACTGGGCCTCTCTATTGTTATAACTCACATCAACAAAAGATCTTTGCAGTTTACCATACTTTTTAAGGGTGAAGATCCACTTGAAACCTATGTACTCTTATTAACCAGTGTCAACCCAATAAATTTAATTTAAAAGTTAAATTAAATTTAAGAAAAAAGGACCAAAAAGTTTTGGAGCCATTGATAAAGAAATAAGAAAACATTTAGTCAGTCTTAAACTATCCCCATACTTTTACAAATCCCAATGGTAAAGATTTTTATGGTCTTGGTAATATATAAAAAGTCATTTAAAAACAGATCTATTTAAATGCCCTTAAACCATTTTGTTCATAACATAAAAAAGATTGAGCTCCTTAGATATTGCTCTATTTTCAAAATGTATTTATAACTCAACCACAATAAATAATTCATACCTCACCAAGTGAGTAATAACGTCTTGGGATCTGGGAGTCCGGATAGATGTTTTCAAGGTACCAAGAAAAGGGCTTACACTTCAGATTTTCTCTCAGTGTTTTTCTGACTGATACATCTCCATAATCCACTTTGACAACACCTGGAATTTTTTGGAAAAACACAAATCAGTTTGTGCTATTTTGGTTTTAGCACAGATTCACTCTGTTTGATTTTGATCAGTCTTTTCTCTGTAATTATAATTTCATCAAATTCAATTGCATATGCAGCTGCTGTTGCACCGATTTTCTTACTAACATTCAATTAGTACATTAAATTGACATAAAAATAATTTTCCCATTGGTTATGACTTTTCAAATGCAAATATTTATCACTAAGTACTTGTACTTCTTAGATTGAATAATTAATCAACTATGTGTAAATTGCTATTAATTTAGCATCTTATAATCAAAGCTTAACTGAGGTGTTTTTCTTTAATAAAAATTTCAGTAGCTCCAATGCCTCTGTGAATGCTCATATTTTCCCTACAGTGTCATTTATTTACCACCTGCAGATTTAATGAGAAATTTACTATATAAATGTGATGCTCAACAATGTATAACACTTACATGTTCTAATTTTCCCTTCTTCTTCTTGAATGTTTATTCTATCTAGGCTTATCATAGACCTGATTTTTTCTTTCTTGATTTTTTTCCTTGTTTCACTTTATGAGTTAATATAAGTTACTTGAATCCCTGGATAAGGTAGTGAGTAAATAATCATATAGAAACTATTAAACAAATGGAATATACTCATGAGGTATATTAAAATTGCTTAGCTTTACTTCATATCAAAACAGAATTTACAAAATTAATATTTACATAGAAGACCATAAGAGTATGCTTTCTAGTTGAGAAGTAAAAACAATAATACCACTAACTTTTATAAAAAAATATGTGGTGACTTTTGACCAAAATGACTAAATAATTATGATGAGATTGCAGTTATTTTTGAGATTATTTTTGAAAGGTCTCTATTTAATGGGTTTCTTTAAGACAAGTAGTAACTAGACATTAGGGTAGAATAAATGGCCCATTTATTTACTATATTTATTTACTATATTCTATTTCAACCAAGCAGCAAAGCCTATCAATCATTCTACAAAATAAAATAAAAAAAAATTATTTAGACAACCTAAATGTCTGCAACTAATATCATTATTTGTTTTTATCCTCAAAAGCAGCAACACTCTTGAAGCCCATCACCTGCTAGTTTCACCCTTTCTCCTCTGCTGTCTCTTCAGATTTTTTTGTTTTACAAAAAGAAATGCCTTAGTGTTTTTGGAAAGCATTCTGCTCATATTTACAGACCAAACCATTTCCTTCTAAGAAAATATTGACTTTTCTAGCTGGTGTTTAGCTAGAAAACAACCAGGTATTTGGGCATTTTAAATGGGTAAATATTTGCTATCAAAATAATTTTATCTAGAATTTCCATTCTGAAGTTTAACCTTAAAAAAAAAAAGTCTTGAAAATATTTACAAAACAGATCACTAAAAGACTATCTCTCTGTGTTAAGTGTTACTGCAACTGAAATCACTTATATGATAGTCTTCAAAATCATATAAATAGATGAGTGTCTATGAAGTATAACCTGAAGTATGAAGTATAACTTAGATCCATGGTTTAAAATGCCATCTGCCTTATTTTCCAAACTCTTAGTTCTAAACCTCTTTAGTTTATCCAATTGTTTGTTCAAGAATTTTACTGGGATCTCTAAGAGACATCTCAAATTTGACAAGTCTAAAATAGTCTTCTTGATTTTCGATCTTGTTCCATCTCTAAGGTTCTCCATTTCAGTAACTAGCACAAGTGTCCACCAATTTGCTCAGGGCAAAACAGAGGAGTATATTTTCCGGCATATAAGACGACTATTGAAAGGAAAAAAAGTCAACCGAAAATCGGGGGCAAAAGACCAAAATTGCACAAAAATTACCTGCAGATCTTGACGGCAAAGTAAGTCTTTTCTTTGAAGTGGGGGGTAGTTTTATACAACGAATATAGGCCTAAACCTATGTTTTACCTGTAAAATTAAGGGGTCGTCTTATACGCCAGAAAATACAATAATTATTTTACCTCACACATACATATTCAATCTATTAGTGATTTTTGTTGGCTCTACATTTATAATATATCCCCAGACCTGCTGCTCCTTCTCACCTTCCCCTCTACCATGCTGGTCCCACCCTCTCTCATCTTTTGACTAGACTAGCATTGTAATAGCCTCCTAATTAGTCCCACTGACATCTTACATTTTTCCATCTATTCCTTATTCATTGTTGCCTGCTCCCTAGACAGTATATCTTAAATTTAAATAAAATCAAATATATCCCGTTTTATATCTTCAAATGATGTTCTACTGTGCTAATAACTGACAATGTCTTAAACATTGGTTAATATCCTCATGAACTGACTCTTGGGCTATCTCTCTCAAATCAATCATCATAGTCACTTTATCAAAGCCACATTGGAGTTTTGTTGCTTACTCCCCCCCCCGCCCCACTTTTTTTTTTTTTTTTTTTACATGCTAAGGTCATTCCCACTTCATGGCTTTGTACTCATCCCTTTTCCTATCTGGAATAGTATTACCCTGGAACTTCCTTTTTTATTTAATTTTTTAAAAAGTTTTATTTTTTTATTATTTTTTATCTTTATTGTTCAGATTATTACAGATACTCCTCTCCTCCCACCCATAGTTCCCCTTCCCCCAGTTCCCACCCCACCCCAAGCCTTTGCCCTCTTCCCACACACACTGTCCTAATTTATAGGTGTAAGATCTTTGTTCAATCTCTACCTGTATCCCGTACACCCCTTCACCCCGAGAATTTTCAGTCCACTTCCTTTCCATACCCCTGATTCTGTTATATTCGGAAGTTTGTTCTGCTCACAAGATTTTTTATTCATTTGATTTTTAGATTCACTTGTTGATATGTATTTGTTGTCACTTTGTTCATAATTTTTTTTTTTAATCTTTACCTTTTTCTTCTTTCTTTTCTTAAAGAATGCCTTTTAGCATTTCATAGAATACTGGTTTGGTGATGATGAACTCCTTTAGCTTTCTCTTATCTGTGAAGCTCTTTATCTGACCTTCAATTCTGAATGATAGCTTTGCTGGGTAGAGTAATCTTGGTTGTAGGTTCCTGTTGTACATCATTTTGAATATTTCTTGCCACTCCCTTCTGGCCTACGTAGTTTCTGTTGAGAAATCATCTGGCAGTTGTATGGGTACTCCCTTATAGGTAACTAACTTTTTTATTCTCTTGCTGCTTTTAAGATTCTCTCTTTGTCTTTTGCCCTGGGCATTTTAATTATGTTGTCTCTTGGTGTAGTCCTCTTTGGATTCCTCTTGTTTGGAGTTCTCTATGCTTCTTGGACTTGTAAGTATATTTCTTTCACCAGGTAGGGGAAGTTTTCTATCATTATTTCTTCAAATAGGTTTTCAGTATCTTGCTCTCTCTCTTCTTCTGGCATCCCCATAATTCGGATGTTGGTATGCTTGAAGTTGTTCCAGAGGCTCCTTACACTATCTTCGTATTTTTGGATTTTTCTTTTTGCTTTTCCAGTAGGGTGTTTTTTGCTTTCTCATATTTCAAATCTTTGACTTGATTCTTAAAATTCTCTACTCTACTATACTATTGAATCCCTGTATATTATTATTTATTTCAGTCAGTGTATGCTTAATTTCTGACTGGTCCTTTTCCTTTCCTTTCCTTTTTTTTTTTTTTTTTTTTTTTTTTTTTTGCATTCTCACTAAGATCCTTAAAGATCTCACTAAGTTCCTTAGAGGTTTCTAGAAGATTCTTGAGTAACCTTATAACTGTGGTTTTGAACACTGCATCCAGTATTTTGTTTTTATCCATTTCTTTCATTTGTGACATGTTTCTCTTCTTCCTCATTTTGGCTGCTTCCCTGTGTTTGTTTTTATATATTGGGTCGGAAACTAAGTAATTGCGGGTTTCACACATATACGGCTTCAGTTGAATTTTTAGGTTTGCAGACGTAGTACAAATGTAAAACACATTTTGTTATTTGGTAGTTGGCTATTCAGCTGTTAATCAGTAAAAAACGTTTTTTGATCTATTTTGTAGTTTTCGTTTGGCGTTCGTTGAAAAATGGAAAATCAAAAGGAACATTTTCGTCATATTTTGCTTTTTTATTTCCGCAAAGGGAAAAACGCATCGCAAGCTCATAAAAAGTTATGTGCTGTTTATGGTGACGAAGCCTTAAAAGAACGGCAGTGTCAAAATTGGTTTGCCAAATTTCGTTCTGGTGATTTTTCACTCAAAGATGAAAAACGCTCTGGTCGTCCAGTTGAAGTTGATGACGCCCTAATCAAAGCAATAATCAATTCGGACTGTCACAGTACAACACGTGAGATTGCAGAGAAGCTTCATGTATCACATACATGCATTGAAAATCACTTAAAACAACTTGGCTATGTTCAAAAACTCGATACATGGGTTCCTCATGAACTGAAAGAATCACAGTTAACGCAACGCATTAGCAGCTGTGATTTGCTAAAGAAATGTAATGAAAATGATCCATTTTTAAAACGACTGATAACTGGCGATGAAAAATGGGTTGTTTACAACAATATCAAGCAGAAAAGATCGTGGAGCAGGCCAGGTGAACCAACTCAAACAACATCAAAAGCTGATATTCATCAAAAGAAGGTTTTGTTATCAGTTTGGTGGGATTACAAAGGAATTGTCTACTTTGAACTCTTACCACCCAACTGAACGATCAATTCTGATGTCTACATTGAACAACTAACGAAATTAAACAATGCAGTTGAAGAAAAGCGGCCCGAATTGACAAATCGAAAAGGTGTTGTATTCCATCATGACAATGCAAGGCCACACACATCTTTGGTCACTCGGCAAAAATTAATGGAGCTTGGTTGGGATGTTTTGCCACATCCACCATATAGTCCTGACCTTGCACCATCTGATTACTTTTTGTTTCGATCTTTACAAAACTCCTTGAATGGTAAAAATTTCAATAATGATGATGATGTCAAATCGTACCTGATTCAGTTTTTTGCTAATAAAAACCAGAAGTTTTTTGAACGTGGGATTATGATGCTGCCTGAAAGATGGCAAAA